CACTATATCTCATATTCTACTTGAGAATTTTTGTTCTTTCTTCCAATTATTCTGATCTTAAAAATTATCTTGGATTGATACGTATATAAAGCGATTTGGATCAAGTCTCAAATCGTAATCCTATCAAATTTATACCATAGAGAAAATCAAATTGATGTTTGTCTTTGCTTTCTGTTTTTTTTTTTTTTCATTCTTTTACAAGAAAAAAATTAAGAAAATATCTCAAGACTCGATTGGTGTTGTCGTCTCAGGTATCTGCAAGGGAGCGGGACTGTCATCGTCTTTCTCGTTGGGACTCTCGACTTGTTTTTCATCGACTGGGGAAGTTACACCGTTCTCTGATGCATTCTTTGTATCGGTGCTGGTGGTCTTTTCTAGTTTCTTGGATGGTTCTGGAGGGGACGAGGCGGCTAAGATGCGACCGAGACCGTCGTATACGCTCTTGGCATCCATAACGATAGTGGCACCACCTGGATAACACCGGCCAAAGCACGTGGCGCAATGTGGGAAAACCACCTGTAAAATCAAACAACCAGAAAGAAACAGAGGCAATGCGAGTTAGATCATTCCAAAAACTGGACTGAACGCTCCTAGTTAGAAAAGTAAATTGTGGCTACGGACTCTTTAACTTGTTGATACAAAACTGAGATGAGATGAAAAAAAGTACCTCGACAAAAGCTCGGCAAAGAGAGAGGAAGAGATTGGATTCATTGAGTCGAAGCATCCGAGTTGTGTTGTATCTTAGTAAAGAGTCAGACACAGCCTGAAGTCCCTTGATCAGTTCATGAGCAATAACATTCTTCAGACTTAGCGGGGCACAAGGACGTAGCTCGTTTAATGCAGCAGATACACCTGCGTGCAAAGCCGGGATTATCAATAACAATCAGAATGCAAAACAGAAAGAGCTACACTTTGTATTTGCAACATTTGTAATAGTTAGAACACTGTCCACAATACTAGAAATCGATACTGTATAATTGTCTCACCGTTTAGGAAAACTGCAAGAGGCGGGTGCTCCATCAAGTATGATGGAGGTGTGACATCATCTTTGCTATCTTCATTAATACCACTTGATGGGAACCCAACAGATGGTAGTGGCACCCATCGATGCGAGTCCAAAACTAACTGAAAGTAAAACATCATGAAGACATTAATGGAGAATTTAGAGAAAAAGTTTGAACTTTTGTATCTACCCACCTGAAAATTCTCAACTGCTGTGCCCATGTTCTTGGAGAATAAGTTTAGAACCGCCCTGTAGAGAGGAGCATGTGAGTTTAATACTGAGCATGTAAAGATTATGACAGAAAACAAAAAGTATACTAAGAAGAATTGTTACTCTTCAAAAAGTGGAGGAAGCAAACCCCGGAAGTCTAGTCCAACCCATCCAAGCCCCATAGCACAGTACTGTGTTGTCACGAGAAGAAGGTAAAAATGCCAATCAGAGTTGCACGAGTTTTCAAAGAGGAATACATGAGATGCAAGAGAACTCAACCATGCACTGATCCAAGATATTCGATAGAGATCCTCCTTCAGTAATCTTTGGGAGCATAATTTTCAGAGTCTTCAGGTGCGATGTTATTTGGTGCATGGCCCAGCTAAACAGAAGTCCACCATCGTAATTTTCCTCACTCCCCGATGTATCATCAGCAAAAATAGCTCGATATTGATTAACTACGTCAAATAGGTGCATTCTGTGACAGTTTATCATGCCTTTTAAATACTCATAGGCATTTTTCTGGTCTAGATCCTCTAGTATTCCAGTGAGCCATGCCTCTCGGCATCTTAAGAACTGCACAGACAAGAAGAACCATTTAGAAGTGAAGGCATATATTACAGAATGAACACAACTCCATAGATAAAGGAATACAATGCAACGGAAGGATAAATCCAAATGGTTATATGTCAGAATAGCTCACCTGCAATCGCATTTCATACTCGCCAAAGACTCCTATTCTGCGTAAGTATCCAATAATCCGGAGACATTCTGGCAACTGAAACAGAGACAGTGGCAAAATACTGAGGCTCCTAGATTGCTAAGCCTAACCACAGTTCACTGAATAAAACAAACAATATTCACATGGAACCTGTATATTTGAGCGCAGTTTCTGGAGAAGCTGCGAGAGCAGTGACTGAGTAGTTTGTCTAACCTCCACCGCAAGTGCTTGGATAACAGGCAATCTTGACATTGAGAAAAGATTCAATCTTAAGAGCTAAAGCTTGAATTTTTATGCCTTAAGTAACCAAAGGAAAAAAAAAATATCAGGAGAAAGATAAAAAAAAAAACTCACTTGGGATGCATGGTAGCAAGTTTCGATACAAATGCTTCCAAGTCAAGAGCCTCATCAAAATTCCCGTTTCTCACGCATCTGATAAAGATACAATTCATTTTAAAGAGCGCTTAACGTCTTTACTTTACTCTCATGAAAGGCATAAGAAGAGATTGACGAGAGAACAGATTAGAGTTTATGGCATGAGGTCTAGTAGCTTACGTGTCCATAAGCTGAGGAATCTCAAGCAAGTCAAGAAGAGTGCTGTGATTTGCCAGCAAAGCTTGGTTCATCTTCCTCTTCTCCAGAATATTCTCAGCAGATTCGATAAATTCTGTGCAACCAGACGTTAGTACTGGCACTTCGCCTATCTGCAAAAGGTGAAAATTACATTGGTTGTGCAACTTGATTTGATTCCAATCGATTTTCAAACTATCTACCTCCACTTGAGACTATAGAAGGATCCAAACACTTGCACTCTCACGAATCGTAGTTACTCAATCAGGATTCAGAAATCAATTTGAAATGGAACGAGAAAGGTATAATTTACCAGAGACTCAAGATGCTTATCAATTGAGGATACTTCCTGCCGGATCGCAAGCAAAGCATCTGCAGCGGTGATAAACGCGCGGTAATTTCCAACTGCCACCTCTTGCATTTGCCTCTGAATCCTCTCTGCGTCCACTCGAAGCAGCTCCGGCTCCTTTCCAATTCAGTAATCGACATGATTCAATATCCATGCGCGCAGAGATGTCAAGAGATGAGAGAAGAGAGAGAGAGAGAGATAAACCTTGTGGAGACGATCGAGAGTGAAGGAGAGGAGCTCGGAGACGTAAGGATGCTGAGAGGCGGAAGCGAGAGAGAGAAGACTCGCCGTCTCCTCCGGCGGATACATCATCTCCCCAACCTCCATTGCCATTCTGGATCTTCCTCCTGTGGACGATCCTATCAAAATCTCCTAGAAGAAAGTAGACAGATCCAGAAACTATAGAGCAGATTTTTCACGATCTTTCAAGGAATTAACATCAAATGTTTCTGCAAACTCAGCTGATTTGATTTTTTTTTCCCTGTCTTTGTTTGGATCTGAAATCTCTCTTTCAATTTTATTTTTTCGCCTTCGTTCATGAAGGATTAAAACGTTACTTTAATAATTTTGGTTCGGTTCGGTCCGATTTGGTTGGTTTAATTTCGTTCGGTTAAGTTGTAATCACCCCCTTAATTAGTCCGGTTACACATGGCTAAATCGAATACTTTGATGTTGTTTTGATTTGTGGCGTCTACTTTGAACCTTTGATATTCGATGATGTCGCATTGATGAAAAAGCAATCTTATATTTACATCCAAAAATTGAATAAACAGTATTTCCATATTAGTAGTATGCAATAACAATAGAGGAGTCTTTCACACTAACGAACCATTAAAGAAAAATAGATAGAGAAACTATAAAAAGAGAAATAAAAAAGGAAGAAGAAAGGAGAAGAGTGGCATCTGATGCCGTGTAGAAATAGAAATAAGGAAACGGGTAAGGAGTTTGCTGTCCCTGTGACTGTCCCTTTGTCGAGCGGTAAAAAGAAAGGATGAACGCACCTGTTACAGATGCGGCATGAATAATCACTTTGAGCGTACATGTCGTACGCCCAAACATTTAGCCGATCTGTACAGGGCATCACAACAAGCCAAAAATAAGGATGCAAAGACAAACTTCATCTCTGATGAACCTGGTCCATCCTTTGATGGCTTAAGTGATGATTTTCATCTGGATGTCGCCGACTATCTCGTTGATCCTGAAGAATCAACTGAGCCAAAGAAAGTTAAATCAATGATAGTGTCTTCGTAAAGAAGACAAGAATAACAATCTCTTAATCGTTTTTCTTGTATTGTATAATATATCTTTTGCTAAAAATTTTTGATGTAATATATTAGCAATGTGTAATATAAAATGTTTCATATTTTATGAATTTCGTGGCCCAGATGGTGCCACCTTTTGAGATTAAGGATAAAGATACTTGTCTAGCAGACAGTGCTACGACACATACAATACTCAAAGATAAGAAGTATTTCTCCTGTCTCAAAATGAAAGACTCCGCTGAAAGCGTGAGTACTATATTGGTAGTGCAAAAATAATACTTGGCTCTGGGAGTGCAAGTTTTTCATTGCCAAGGGGAACGAAATTTGAAGTGCGAGATGCACTATATTCCCCGGAGTCTCACCGGAACTTATTAAGTTTCCGAGATATCCGCAAAAATGGATATCATATTGAGACTATAAACAAAAATGGCATTGAATATCTTTGCATTACAACGGAGAGGAAACAAACATTGGAAGAATTACCAATGATGTCCTCTGGTTTATATTGCACAAAAATCAACATGACTGAATCTTATGTTGCAGTAAACCAGATGTTTACTAGCACTTTTAGGGTGTGGCATGAAAGACTTGGCCACCCGGGTTCAGTCATGATGAGAAGAATTGTGCAAAATACGAGTGGCCACCCATTGAAAAATGAAAAGATTTTTCAATCGGGGGAGTTTTCATGTAAAGCATGTTCTCAAGGAAAACTCATAATTAGGCCCTCGCCAGCCAAAGTTGGGAATGAATCCTGTATTCTTAGAGAGAATACATGGTGATATATGTGGGCCTATTAACCCACCGTGCGGGCCATTTCGATACTTTATGGTATTGATTGACGCATCTAGTAGATGGTCAAATGTGTGTCTTTTGACCACAAGAAATATGGCTTTCGCAAGATTCATTGCCCAAATAATCAGGTTGAGAGCGCATTTCCCTGATTATGCCATAAAGAAAGTCAGGCTTGATAATGCTGGTGAATTCACTTCAGCAGCCTTTAATGACTTTTGTATGTCTGTGGGAATCGATGTTAAACATCCGGTTCCGCACGTTCATACGCAAAATGGCATGGCTGAGTCATTAATAAAGCGGTTGCAGTTAATTGCAAGACCGTTAATCTTGAGAACAAAACTCCCAATCACTGTATGGGGACATGCAATATTGCATGCGGGAGCCTTGGTTCAAGTGAGACCAAGTGCTTATAATGAATTTTCGCCCATACAGTTGGCATTTGGAAATATTGCCAAATATATCCCATCTCCGGGTATTCGGGTGTGCGGTCTATATCCCAATAGCGCCACCACAGAGATCAAAAATGGGACCACAGAGGAGATTGGGAATATATGTCGGGTATTCGTCCCCTAGTATAATAAGGTATCTTGAACCGGCAACTGGTGATATGTTTACGGCACGATTTGCGATAGCCACTTTGATGAAAATGAATTCCCTGCGTTAGGGGGAGGGTGAGAGAATCACCAAATGATATCACCTGGTGTACACACTCTTTGGCTTATCTTGATCCTCCTTTTAATCAACGCTAGGTGATTCACAGATACGAAAAGGGTGACGAAGTCCTATATCCCCGCTGCTAATGCTCCATCAAAAATAGAAGTTCCTCATGAACATTTTGATGTGAATAGAGCAAGTGAACCGGTTCAATTAAAGCGCGGGAGGCCTATAGGATCAAAGGATAAATATCCCCGAAAAAAAAAGAATTGTGGAGTAAAGGTTCCTGATGAACCGAAATGTCTTCAAGACATTTCCGAACAGGTTCTTGTAGAACCTGATAAAGAGGTTCGTCAAGATGACGAACCTGAGGGATTTAAGATCCCGAAAGGATCAAAGATGCTTGAAGCATCTAAAGGGCTTTGTTCGGTCAAACTCCAGCGATCACTTTACGGATTAAAACAATCCGGCCGCATGTGGTACAATCGCTTAAGTGAATACTTGTTGAGTAAAGGTTACGTCAACAATGCGATATGTCCATGTGTGTTCATAAAGAAATCCTCAACGGGTTTTGTGATCATTGCTGTGTATGTTGATGACCTGAACATGATTGGAACTCAAAAGGAAATTGATGATGCAAGAACTCATATGAAAGATGAGTTCGAAATGAAAGATCTTGGAAAGACAAAGTTTTGTCTTGGGCTCCAGATAGAGCATTTCCAAGATGGAATATTTTTGCATCAATCAAATTACACCAAAAGGGTGTTAAAGCGCTTTTATATGGATAAAGCGACTCCTTTGAGTAGTCCAATGGTCAATAGATCGCTTGATGTTAACAAGGATCCATTTCGACCTATTGAAGATTCTGAAGAAATGTTAGGTCCTGAAGTACCTTACATGAGCGCCATCGGGGCACTTATGTATCTTGCAAATTGCACAAGACCAGATATAGCTTTTGCTACTAATCTGCTTGCAAGATACAGCTCATCGCCTACCAGAAGACATTGGAACGGAATAAAACATATATTCCGTTATCTTCAAGGTACGATTGAGTTTGGATTATATTATTCAAGAAACCCCGAGGTTGGTTTAGTTGGTTTTGCAGATGCTGGCTACTTGTCTGATCCGCATAAAGCTCGATCGCAAACCGGTTATGTTTTTACATACGGTGGAACCGCGATCTCCTGGCGTTCCCAAAAACAAACTTTGGTTGCAACGTCTTCAAATTATGCAGAAATCATTGCTCTCCATGAAGCATGTAGAGAGTGTGTATGGTTGAGATCTTTGATCCAACATATACAAGAAGCCAGCGGAGTATCTACAAAGAAAGAGCCAACAACTATCTACGAAGACAATTCTGCATGTGTCACTCAACTCAAAGAAGGTATATCAAGAGCGACAGGACAAACACATCCTCCAAGATTTTTCTCTTACACTCAAGAACTTGAAAAGAATCAAGAAGTGGATATTCAGTATGTTCGCTCAAGTGACAATGCAGCTGATCTCTTCACAAAGGCGCTTCCTACTACAGTGTTCAAGAAGCATGTTCAAAGTATTGGAATGCCGTCTTCAAGATTTGTGAAGAGAAGACCATATCTATTTTTCAGGGGGAGTTTGCTTCGGTACTCTTTTTCCTTTCATGGTTTTTATCCCATGGGTTTTTCCATGATAAGGTTTTAATGAGGCCATATACAACTCTATACTGATGATAATCAAGGGGGAGTGTTGTGATAAGACCAATCACGATGACTCATCATCAGCTGAGAAATATCTTTTGTAAACCGACTTTAGGTGTCACAATTCTACTTGTGTGGTCCCCTATATAAAGGGTACTAATCTCTGTAGAGAAATTCATTCCTACAACACAACTCAATAGAAAAAAGTTACTCTCTCACTCCTCATATCATTCCTCTCTCGTCTCTCTCCTGCCCAGTGGTCCCACCACCTTTCTTACTCTTTTATTTTATTTATTCTCACCTTTAAAGCAATATTTTATAATATTTTGAAATAACAAATAAAATAAAAAAAGGTGGTGGGGACCACCGGAGAGGAGAGAGACGAGAGATGAGTATGAGAGAGAAGGGAGAAATATCTTTTTCTTTATTAATGTTTCGTTGGTTGTGTGTGTTGTACAACAAAAACTGACCCCTTTATATAGGGAGGGTGAATCAATGATATTGTGACACCTATGAGTCGGTGAAGGAGATAGTTATCTCATGTGATGAGTCATCACTTTTTGTTATTATCTCAACACTCCCCCTTGACTCATCATCAGTAGTTGCATACGGCCTCATTAAAACCTTATCATGGAAAAACCCATTGGGATAAAAACCATGAGAAGGAAAAAGAGTACCACGAAACAAACTCCCCCTGAAAAATGATATCGTCTTCTCTTCACAAATCTTGTAGACGACGCATTCCAATACTCTGAACATGCTTTTTGAACATGTAGTAGGAAGCGCCTTTGTGAAGAGATCAGCTGTGTTGTCACTTGAGCGAACATACTGAATATCCACTTCTTGATTTTTCTCGAGTTCTTGAGTGTAGGAGAAAAATCTTGGAGGGATGTGTTTTGTCCTGTCGCTCTTGATATAGCCTTCTTTGAGTTGAGTGACACATGCAGAATTGTCTTCGTAGATTGTTGTTGGCTCTTTCTTTGTAGATACTCCTGGCTTCTTGTATATGTTGGATCAAAGATCTCAACCATACACACTCTCTACATGCTTCATGCAGAGCAATGATTTCCGCATAATTTGAAGACGTTGCAACCAAAGTTTGTTTTTGGGAACGCCAGAGATCGCGGTTCCACCGTATGTGAAAATATAACCGGTTTGCGATCGAGCTTTATGCGGATCAGACAAGTAGCCAGCATCTGCAAAACCAACTAAACCAACCTCGGGGTTTCTTGAATAATATAATCCAAACTCAATCGTACCTTGAAGATAACGGAATATATGTTTTATTCCGTTCCAATGTCTTCTGGTAGGCGATGAGCTGTATCTTGCAAGCAGATTAGTAGCAAAAGCTATATCTGGTCTTGTGCAATTTGCAAGATACATAAGTGCCCCGATGGCGCTCATGTAAGGTACTTCAGGACCTAACATTTCTTCAGAATCTTCAATAGGTCGAAATGGATCCTTGTTAACATCAAGCGATCTATTGACCATTGGACTACTCAAAGGAGTCGCTTTATCCATATAAAAGCGCTTTAACACCCTTTTGGTGTAATTTGATTGATGCAAAAATATTCCATCTTGGAAATGCTCTATCTGGAGCCCAAGACAAAACTTTGTCTTTCCAAGATCTTTCATTTCGAACTCATCTTTCATATGAGTTCTTGCATCATCAATCTCCTTTTGAGTTCCAATCATGTTCAGGTCATCAACATACACAGCAATGATCACAAAACCCGTTGAGGATTTCTTTATGAACACGCATGGACAAATCGCATTGTTGACGTAACCTTTACTCAACAAGTATTCACTTAAGCGATTGTACCACATGCGGCCGGATTGTTTTAATCCATAAAGTGATCGCTGGAGTTTGACCGAACAAAGCTCTTTAGATGCTTCAGGCATCTTTGACCCTTCTTGGGATCTTAAATCCCTCAGGAATTTTCATATATATCTCACTATCAAGTGAGCCATATAGGTATGCAGTCACAACATCCATCAGGTACATCTCTAAATTATTAGAGGCCGTTAGGCTCATTAAGTACCTGAAGGTGATTGCATCCATTACCGGGAATATGTTTCTTCATAATCTATCCCCGGTCTTTGAGAAAAACCTTGAGCCACAAGACGAGCTTTATATCTTGTGACTTCGTTTTTCTCATTTCTTTTTCTTACAAAAACCCATTTGTATCCAACCGGCATTACATCTTTTGTGTAATGATTATCGGTCCGAATACAGTCCGTTTATTGAGAGAGAATATTTCATTCTTCATGGCCATTTGCCATTTCTCCCAGTCCGGCCTCTTTTGGCACTCTGACACGGAAATTGGATCTGGATCATCATTTTCATGATCGATCTCTTTAGCTACAGAAAAAGAGAACATTTCATCATCATCTATTTCACTTCTAGCCCATATTTTTCCACTTTGGGCGAAGGAGATGGAGATCTCAAATTTTTCTGTCTCTGGTTCGTCATCTTGAAGACATTTCGGTTCATCAGGAACCTTTACTCCACAATTCTTTTTCTTTCGGGGATTTTTATCCTTTGATCCTATAGGCCTCCCGCGCTTTAATTGAACCGGTTCACTTGCTCTATTCACATCAAAATGTTCATGAGGAACTTCTATTTTTGATGGAGCATTAGCAGCGGGGATATAGGACTTCGTCACCCTTTTCGTATCTGAACGCATCGGGCAACTGGTTAGCCAATCTTTGCATATGTATAATTTTCTGAACTTCCACCTCGCGTTGATTAGAAGGAGGATCAAGATAAGCCAAAGAGTGTGTACACCATTTGGTGATATCATTTGGTGATTCTCTCGACCCTCCCCCTAACGCAGGGAATTCATTTTCATCAAAGTGGCTATCGGCAAATCTTGCCGTAAACATATCACCAGTTGCCGGTTCAAGATACCTTATTATACTAGGGGACGAATACCCGACATATATTCCCAATCTCCTCTGTGGTCCCATTTTTGATCTCTGTGGTGGCGCTATTGGGATATAGACCGCACACCCGAATACCCGGAGATGGGATATATTTGGCATATTTCCAAATGCCAACTGTATGGGCGAAAATTCATTATAAGCACTTGGTCTCACTTGAACCAAGGCTCCCGCATGCAATATTGCATGTCCCCATACAGTGATTGGGAGTTTTGTTCTCAAGATTAACGGTCTTGCAATTAACTGCAACCGCTTTATTAATGACTCAGCCATGCCATTTTGCGTATGAACGTGTGGAACCGGATGTTCAACATCGATTCCCACAGACATACAAAAGTCATTAAAGGCTGCTGAAGTGAATTCACCAGCATTATCAAGCCTGACTTTCTTTATGGCATAATCAGGGAAATGCGCTCTCAACCTGATTATTTGGGCAATGAATCTTGCGAAAGCCATATTTCTTGTGGTCAAAAGACACACATTTGACCATCTACTAGATGCGTCAATCAATACCATAAAGTATCGAAATGGCCCGCACGGTGGGTTAATAGGCCCACATATATCACCATGTATTCTCTCTAAGAATACAGGGGATTCATTCCCAACTTTGGCTGGCGAGGGCCTAATTATGAGTTTTCCTTGAGAACATGCTTTACATGAAAACTCCCCCGATTGAAAAATCTTTTCATTTTTCAATGGGTGGCCACTCGTATTTTGCACAATTCTTCTCATCATGACTGAACCTGGGTGGCCAAGTCTTTCATGCCACACCCTAAAAGTGCTAGTAAACATCTGGTTTACTGCAACATAAGATTCAGTCATGTTGATTTTTGTGCAATATAAACCAGAGGACATCATTGGTAATTCTTCCAATGTTTGTTTCCTCTCCGTTGTAATGCAAAGATATTCAATGCCATTTTTGTTTATAGTCTCAATATGATATCCATTTTTGCGGATATCTCGGAAACTTAATAAGTTCCGGTGAGACTCCGGGGAATATAGTGCATCTCGCACTTCAAATTTCGTTCCCCTTGGCAATGAAAAACTTGCACTCCCAGAGCCAAGTATTATTTTTGCACTACCGCATATAGTACTCACGCTTTCAGCGGAGTCTTTCATTTTGAGACAGGAGAAATACTTCTTATCTTTGAGTATTGTATGTGTCGTAGCACTGTCTGCTAGACAAGTATCTCCATCCTTAATCTCAAATGGTGACACCATCTGGGCCACGAAATTCATAAAATATGAAACATTTTATATTAAACATTGCTAATATATTACATCAAAAACTTTTTAGCAAAAGATATATTATACAATACAAGAAAAACGATTAAGAGTTTGTTATTCTTGTCTTCTTTAGAAGACACTATCATCGATTTGACTTTCTTTGGCTCAGTTGATTCTTCAGGATCAACGAGATAGTCGGCGACATCCAGATGAAAATCATCACTTAAGCCATCAAAGGATGGACCAGGTTCATCAGAGATGAAGTTGGTCTCTGTGTCCTTATTTTGGCTTGTTGTGATGCCCTGTACAGATCGGCTAAATGTTTGGGCGTACGACATGTACGCTCAAAGTGATTATTCATGCCGCATATGTAACAGGTGCGTTCACCCTTTCTTTTTACCGCTCGACCATCATCACTTTCTCTTCCACGTCCACGACCTCGACCGCGACCGCGACCACGGCCTCTGCCGCGTCTGCGTTCACGTTCAGGCTTTTTAGTATGACTGGATGACGCAACATTCGCTTCAGGGAATGGCGCAGATCCAGTTGGACGGAGCTGATGGTTTAACATCACAAGCTGATTATTTTTTTCAGCCACAAGGAGGATTTGCATCAACTCCGAGTACGAGGTGAACTCTCTTGCCCGGTATTGTTGTTGCAGGATTATATTTTCAGGATGAAAAGTTGAGAGAGTTTTTTCCAACATATCAAATTCACTGATATTCTCTCCACACATTTTCATCCTGGAAGTGATGTTGTACATAATGGAATTGTACTCAGCAACACTTTTATAATCCTGGAACCGGAGGTTCAACCACTCGTACCTCGCTTGCG